GAATCATTCTTGACGGTGTTTAACTTGTAGGAATGGAATCAAATTGTTGGATCGAGTCATCTATTAAAAATGGACAATCTCATTCCTCCCATGCACCCTAATCAATGTCATTCCTTATTYCGTGACTTCACATATTTATCGGAGTTACTTTACTACTTTTATATTTTCTCTTTCTTTATCTCCRTAACTTTTTTAATTATTCTTTTCATTTCTACTATTAATGTTTTTCCTTTTAATAAAAATCTATACAATTTTGATTGATTATACATCTTTCCGATTCCTRATGATTTTAATAAACAACATCAAAGAAATTCTRATTCAGATTCCAGAAAATTTCTKSTAAACATCATAAAAAAACAGTATTATCGTTCGGATTGATTTCATTTCAATTATGATTTCTGGATGTAAAGATGGCCTTAAATATTATTCTTAATTAGTATTTTGTTTTGAAGGGTTTTTTTTTTGTTCTAAAGGAAAGAGTATTTTAATTTGCAGAATTCCCMAAAAGCCACCCCATACTTTTTAATTTCTTTGTCTAGAATGATTGCTAAAGGACCCACTTCTTGTATCTTTTAATTTTCCCTCTCATCCACTCCACCTCCATCCTATATCATGTCCATTCTATGAAAAAAAAAAATGAAAACGGTTCAATTATATAATTGATTTTCCAAAATCACCGCACTATATTAAAAATCAATTTTTTTATTTGTCGTGATCCATAAAAATGAGTGATTTTAGCAATAGTAAAAATGATTTTGCCATGTCAAAATCACACCAAATACATCTTTATTCTATATATAAGTACTATTCGTCGGGTTAAGAGTTCAATTAYAATCGAACTATAATTAAACCATGATATAATTAGTCGTACTTCTCTGTTATAAAGGATTGGTCTAAACCCCTTTTCTTTCCTTCGAAGTGCTGATTGGTCACTACCTATATTCATACTTATTTGCCGTTTAAAATTTGACCAAAAAAAAAAAAAGTAGTAGAGTAGGAATAATATTTCTATATTTCATTGCATTTGTTGCTGTTTCATAACTTTTCTTTTGGCGAAATATACAAAATAATAATAAAAAATATTGGAAATGGATATATTATTATTTGAATAAAGTGTTCCATTGAAATGATTGTTGTGTACACACAACACAATGAAATAAGAAGGATATGGTGATCAAGGCATTGTTTGAGGGCAGTGATTGGAATTTGAATGGATTTTATTTGATGTGAAAGAAATTAAATGGGCAGAAAAAATAATGATGGGATTTGGAAAGTTAAGGCAAAGAGTGAGAATGGGAATTTCTTAATTTCTTTTTGTTACATTTTTTCATCTTTTCAATTTGCTTTTGCTGTCTTTACCATTTGATGGCTTTTGTCTCTTTCCTTACATGTCCCCATGGCTTCATCTTCACRACATTTTTACTATCCAATTCTAAACTTATTAGCTACAAATCAATTAAATGACTAAATTTAGGCTTAAATATATGGATTTAGTATACCTTCATAGAATGCATCGCTTCGAGTTGATTTTTTAGTCTTTGAATTTTCGTTAAGTTTTACATTTAATTTAGTCTTTATCATATCGGTGATAGTTTGAATATAATAGGTATGTAATGAAAATGATTACATCGAGGTCACGTCATGTTTTCAATGGATTAGGCTACAACCTCTGTTCTTTTTTTTCCTTTAGAAATTAAATGTGGAATTTAATGAAAGTTTTAAATTGAAATTTGGGATTTTAAAAGTTCAAGGGCCAAAATAGTGAATAAAGGTTTATGGTTTCTTGTAAAAACGTTATTAAAATTTATTAACATATTTAGACACGTGAACAAAATAATACTAYGATGCATAAAATCCAACCTGCCTATCAGCAAACTTTGACAAGTCTGTCAACAAAAYCTATCTTTTCCAAGTTGCATGTCAAAGTAGCATGACGTACGTGTCTAAATATATTAATAAACAATAATTTAATCTAATCACACATAACCTCTTTATTAACAAAATTTTAATAGATTTTCTTATGGAAGGGATATAAATTGAGAATTTCTAGTACATGAAAGGTAAAATTGAAAATTTTTAAAATATTAAGGATCAATTTGAGAATGAGATGCTTCATTCTTCAATTTATTTAGCCTAAGACTTTCAAAGTTTAAACACCTAAATAAAAAATTGACARAATTATATTTGTGTGATTACTATTTGGTGTTTAAAATTTCATTTTTTTTTCTTCTGTTACTGAACTTTCAGAAATTATATGGTGAGTCTCTAACCCTTACATTAAAAGGAAAAATTGTTTTTATCCTTAATGTTAAACTTTTTTTTAATAAAAACTAGACATTTTTTCTTGATAGTTTTTTTTWAWWRRAAAAAMCMRSMAMMAWTTTWA